CACTTTGAACATTATAGAAAGAGTGGATTCATCTTCAGTAACAAATAAATAAATAAAAAAAAACTAGAAAAACTGAAATGTTTTTTTTTTGTTTTTTGAACAAGCATATTTCCTAGAAATTTTAAATTTGAACTAGTTCTGGACTTAAAAGCGATAATACTTCAAGAAATTTTCAAGAATCTGGAGTCAAATTCCCTGCACAGTTTGTAAAGCTCGTGGAATTTTATTAGTAATTTCTGAGGAGCAACTGCTTCAGAGAAAAATTCCAAGGGTCTTCTAAGGATAATTTCTAAAAGAATGTGGGAGAAAACGAATCTTGAAATTACTAAAATGAGGATTACAATTAAATCTGAGAATAACTCTATAACATCTTCAAAGGAATTCGGAAAATAAATTCAGGAGAATTTGCCAAACAAATTATTAGAAGAAATCTAAAGAATTTGTGAGGAGAAATGCCAATGAATTCTTAGGAGACTTTCAATGTGAGTAGAATTCCGATGGGAGAAGTGAGATTCGAAAAGAAATCTGAAATGAATGCAATGAATATTCGGAGAATCTTTCCAAAGGGTTTCTTATTGTGGTGAATTTCAAGATATTTCCGGGGAAAACGAAAAGAAAATTGAATTCGAAGCTTCATCGGAATGTAGAGGAGAATGGACTATTCTGAGGTCTTCAGAACTACTTGAAAGTTCCCAAATTTGTCCTGAAGTTACTGAAACTGCTTTGCAGTTCTTTTTTGTTTGAGAAACTAGCCTGCTGCTCATAATATTTCTCATTAAATTTTTAAACTTCTCTGAACTTGATAGGACTTCCTCCATTTTTTAACGATCATATATCTCTTCTAAAGGTTTAAAAAATCGCTGAAGTTCTCTAAACTTCTTTAAAATTTATGTGACTTCTCTAATGTTAACGGAACTGCTCTGAAGTTCTCTGTTCTTTTCTGAAATTCTCAAAACTTCTCCAAGGTTTTTGCAGTTTTCATGAAGCTTGTTGTACTGCGCTGAATTTAATTGAACCATCCTAAAAACGTTTAAGCTTCCCTGAACTTCTAAACTCATGGGAAGACCTTAATTAAATTTTTAACGTATCTGAAGTTATCTGAAAAGTTTTGGAACTGCCTTAAATTTTCACTAATTTTTCTGAAACTAATGGAACTAATGCTGAAGTTCGCGGATCTCCTCTTAAGCTTTATAGATTTCTATGAAGTTCTCGAAATATTTTCTGAAAATCACTGTCCTTCTGTGAAGATTTCGAAGTTTTTCTAAACTTCTGGAACTTTTGTGCTCCCGCAATTTTCATGGAATTGGAGCGACATAATCAATATAGTTCTATGATTATCTCTGAAGTTCTCAAGATTTTTCTGACGTTCATGAAACTTCCCGTTAATATAGGCACTAATTTGAAACTTTTTTCAATAGTCTAGACTTTCCTGGTGGTATTAAAAGTGCCTAAACGATTATTGAAGCTCCTCAAAGAACCCGCAACTTTACTGAAATTAAATTATTTGCCTTGATGTTTCGACACTTTTCCTTAAGTATTATAATAATGATAAACACTCACTAATTTTCCCTGAACTTATCTATGCTTACCTGAAGTTCTCTAAATTTGTATGATAATCCTTCATATTTGCTTAAGTTAATGGGATTTTTCTGAAGCTATCTGATCGTCCTCGAAGTACTCGGAACTTCACTGAATATCATGAAACCATCTAACAATATCTAAATGTATTAGAAGTTCTCTGTATTTCTTTGAAGCTTGCTAAAAGTTCTCGCATTTTTTTAATTAATGAAACTTCGTTGATGTTCACTAATCAACTAAGTTAAATTTTCGCATTTTTTAAGTTCGTGAAATCTCCAAGATATGACACCCTTAAAATACTCTCAAGTTTCCCGGATGTTCGTGTAATTTTTATCACCTTCCAGAAATTCTCTCTGAGCTTTGCTGAAGTTTCCGGGGATTCATATTTAATGACAGTTTTTTGTTTTGAATCCATGACCTACCCCCCCTAAACTATCTACGTAGTTTATGGACAGCCCCTTGTACATGGAATGCGAAAGATTTTGAATAATTTTAGATCTTACTTACTCAAATTAAGTTTTTTTTTTAACTTTATAAAGTGAGAAATTAAGTAAGTGTTAAACTTCAACATTCAATGGATTTGATTGAAAAGCTGTTTCTTTAAAACTGATTGCCATTTCTTAAAAACGTTTCGGTAAATTGCTACTGTTTTGATCTACAAAAAAAGCATATTTTTAACGAATTTAAAAAATAGCCTTCTTATTATAAGCCTGATCCGTTAATGTTCTGGAAAACTCAGGTAATTTTATTTAGTAGATAGAGAAAGACGATTAAACGTCGCAAAGCAAAGAATGGTCAATCTTAAAGTAAATTCACGCTAAAAAAGTTGAAAATAGTCACTGATTACAAGAAAAAGTGACCTTAGTGACTTGGCCTTAAAAAAGGTGACCAAGTCACTGAAAAGTGACTCGCTACCAGCCCTGTATACTAATGAACATTTCCAGGCCAAATAGCAAAAAAAAAAACAAAAGTGATTTCTGATTCGACCATCTCCGATTTCCGTGAAACAATGCATAATTGTTTGTTATGGTCAATCATTCACAGTTGAGCTAAAATTCGACCAACCTCGAAAAAAAAATCCAAAATTCACATTCGATATTTTTCAACAAATCATAACTCGAAAACGTCACTTCCAATCAAAATTATGCCTAACTTTTTGTTTAAACACCGTTTTGTGATATTTTGCACAGTAATCTATTTATTATACTGCGCAAAACTTTCAAAAACCACGAGTATTCGGTTCAATTACTTTAACTCTAGACATAAGATATTAATTAACACATTAATAACGCATAATGATAACTTGGCTCCGTTAAGCTTATTCGATTGAGCCTGTACAAAATGATTGCATTTTTATATAAATACAAAACAAATAATTAAAAAATATATGCAAATTGAATAAATTTTATTTATGTTTAATTTTGATTTTTTTTTTGTAAATAATAAAATAATTTTTTACAGTGTATATGTTTGTTTGCTTTTTTGTTGTAAATTTATATTATTTATTATCACGGTGGAAATTTTCTAGAAATTTTATCTCCTGTGAAATTTTCAAATTGGTCGTTTAAAAATTAACAAATTTAAGATATTAATCAACACATTAATAACTCAAATAATAATTTGGCTCCGTAAAGCTTATTCGATTGAGCCTGTACAAAAAGATTGCAATTTTATATAAATACAAAACAAATAATTAAAAAAAAATATGCAAATTGAATAGATTTTATTCTTTTTTTAATTTAGATTTTTTTTTGTAATCAATAAAATATTTTTTTACAGTGTAAATTTTTCTTTGCTTTTTTGTTGAATATTTAATGTGTTTTAATATTAACACTATTTCAAAGATATTCGAAAACTATAGGTAGTATTTAGGAAAATAGTACTTTTTTCAATAATTCATAACTTTTTTGTTTATGAGTTGCCCAGCAAATACACATTGTCAGTGAGTAGCACTTTATCTAAAATACAATATAAATATAAAAAAAATTATAATAAATAAATATATTCAATCTGAGTAATTTTATTATTATTTTTAATAATTTTAATTTTTTTTTTGTAAATAAGAAAATATTTTTTTACAGTGTATGGTTTTTTCTTGAAAGACACAAAACTTGTCTGCAACTTCGCCGAAGACACCAACAAATCGTTCGTGAGATATATGTTTTTCTATTGATGTGCATCATTTTTGCATAAGCCCTTTTCAAGTGTTAATCGTGCACAAAACTAGGGAACCAAATATGTAAAATGGCATGTTGGCGGGCGAACCAGCCAATGGCTGAAAGCCTTGTAAATAAAGGAAAAAAAAAAAAAAAAATGGCATGTTGGACAACAACAAACAACTGTGCAAAGTTTCAACATAATCGTAGAAGGTCGATCGAAAAATTAAAAAAAAATCGTCATTTGAAATGGAACTGCTGATAAGTTTTAAACACTTTCTTGGATTTGATACCCAAAACTACTGGAATTTTTTTCAGTGTATGTTTTTAATGAACGGTCATTATTTTTTACTACAACTTTATCTTAGACGTCATTTCGATTAGAAGTAAAATTTTCTAGTTATGATTTGTTGAAAAAATTCTAAAGCGCCATTTTTAATTTTTTTCTTTGCGTGCTTCAAAATGGCCGAATCTTATCTCAAATGTGAATGATTGACCATAACAAACAATTATGCAATGTTTCATGCAAATCGGCGAAGGCCGCGTCAGATCGATTCGTCATTTGCCATGGAACTGCTCTAATGACCTACTTTAAAACCAACTATTTGACTGCTTCGGAATACCTTGGATCATCAGTGTCATCAGTAAAGTCAGATCTCCAGTGAGACAAGTGTGCGTGTGTGTGACCACAATGATCCCCCTTCCACCCCCCCTTCGATGCACGCCGGTGTGACCACGTCCCAATTTAAATCACGACCGCACCGCCTCGAGCCGTGCCCCGTGCTCAAGAAACGCAAATGAGGAAGTCCAGAAAAGTAACTGTTTTTTACCACTCTCTCTCTCTCTCTATCTATCTCTCTCACACACACACACACACTCGAACGCATATGCGGCCACGGACTACGGAGCCGCCCGTAGTACGCCCGAAGGCAGCGTATACGGCTTAAATTAATTCAAGAAAACCTATCGAGGTCATTAGTCAGCAGCATATTGTGATGAGCGCGAAGAAGCGAGCAAAACGGAACACGTACAAAAACAGAGATTGAGAGTTTACGACTTCAGCGACGACGACGACGACGACGACGACCCTTTCGATGCCGCCAGTCAGGGATTCGGGGTTCAACCTGTCTCCTCGTTCTATGCTTGGGTTGGATTTTTTTTGGTACGAGTGAGAGAGAGATGGAGAGGGAATGTTGTTGGATCGATTCGACCTTGGCACCGAAAGGGTTGTGTCGCAGTTCTACGGCGTGTACGGCCTGGACTCACCTCTTGTCCAACGGGTACGATCTTAACGGTAATCTCGTCTTTTAGGTCATCGTGCTGCAGCACCTCGCCGGCACTTTCGCGCCCATTGTAGGTGAGGAACACCTTCTGGCCCGGCTTCAGCCGGACGTCCATGATGGTCTTGAAGCCGGGACCGATGAGTTCGCTCTCGCGGAACTCCCGGGCCAACCCGCGCCTCGCGACGTCCTGCTTGCTGTCGAAGCGCACCGAGTAGCGCGTGTTGGGCGTCAGGTTGATGCAGTTGTTGTTGTCCTTCTGGTTGGCGGACGGCGGTGTCTTGACGGCCTGGATCACCCCGGAGTACCAGATTCCGTCGACACCGGGAGCGCACACCCGGGTGCCGATGATGGACCGTTTTGCCAAGCGCTTGCCGGTTGACATTTTGTTCAGGAAGTATTTTTTCATATGTGATCAGACTTTGTTTTCCTTGACGGAATCGCACGCACTTACACACTCTTACGGCACACTGATGACGTCAAAAATAAACAAATAAAAACTCAGATACTATGATTTTCCTTTTACTACAATTTTTTTTTTTGATGTATACGTTGCTTCACAAGCTTCGATCACGATTTTTCGCTTCTCTTTCAACAGGTTTTCCACTCTCTGCTTCGTAACAACTTTTACTCTCAACAAGTTTTACTTTATCACTCCTTTGCTCGGTAATAATTTCGTCTTATAGCTTTCTATTGTACACATCCAACACTTCTTCTTCTTCTTCTACGTCTTCACGATCTTCTTCTTCTTCTTTCTTGTATTCGATTACCGAACTTTCTTTTTCTCCCCTTCCGATTGCGGATTTCTTCTTCGCGAAAATCGACACTTCACGATAGAACCTTGTCTAGATTGTAGTAGGCGTCGTTGATGGAACTCTTCTGACAGACTTCCGACACTAGCAGTAGGCGTTGATTAGCGGCGCTACCTAGCTGCACTAGGTGACTGCGATGCACCAATGGTAACGAGTCCACTTCCGGTTGCTGTTTCTGCTGCTGTTGTTGTTGTTCTTCTACGACCAGCTGAGCCGAGTGCATCACATCAACAATATTAGTCGATACATTTTCGCCGTGATTGACAGTGCTCGCTCGAGACTTGCTCCAAATCATATTTTGCACGCTTGGCACTTGGCGATTCCAAGGTTCGGTCTGGATGAATCAAACCCTCGGTTTCCAGATTCGTTCCAGTTTGCTGTAACTAGTTTTTCACTTGCACTTGCTTTCTTTTCCACCAGAGAGGCCTTGGAACGTACTTTTTTTTTCCAAAGCCGAAGTTTACAGAGAGATCACAATTAGAACACAGAAAATTTCTCAACACACTAGAAAATGCACTTGTTTCCAGTATTGAACAACAGAATCTTCATTCACGGGGAGGGGGAGGGCACAACAATTGTCCCTTGCACTTGCAATTTTCATTCACACAATTAAAAAAAAAAGAGTCGAACAACAGAACAACGGGGAACACCGAAAGCACTCACTCTACTATTGTTTGCTCCGCGCGAATTGCTACGCGTGCGGAATTTCGCCTCCTAGGGAGTGGAACCGATCCGTTTTCATTCAAAAACAAAAATCTCCTGTTGTAAAATAGTTGTATATCCCATACACAAAAACGGTTTGCAATTATTAAGACCACAGACTTTCAACTCTACTTGAATGGAATTGCCTCTTCGGGAGTAGCCGCTCGAGTGACAACTTTCCGACACGAAAAACAACTGGGAACTGAACCTCGTACAAGCAAAACAGAACGGACTGAGTGAGTGAGCAAGCAGGCAGACGGGCAGGCGAGCGAGCGAGCGAACGAGGCGAGTGCAAACGAACCGAACAGCACTCTCGCACGGACGGAATATGCTCGCTCACACAAAGCTAGCGGTGACGACGGCAATTGTATGTACTCACTCACCACTACCACGCTAGCTATGTTTTCAACTTTTTTCCCGAAGGCGCGCGGGTACATAAAACCCGAACCACTACCACAACGAGCCACGAAGCTTCCTCCCCCTGCCCAATGCGCGCTGCATAGCTCAACCATCGAAAGGGGGTTTGAGCGAGGAATGGGGCGACGACGGACGGGAGGGAAACCCGTTGTGTAAAAATCCCACTTGGAGCATAGATAAATGATATAATGGAAAATATATGCCACGAACCGTTTTTTCGCCTCTCACCCACCGACCGACCAGCCGACGGACGACCGACCGACTCAATTCGGAGCTCATTCGCTTCGCTTCGGCAGCAACAGCCGATTGCTGCTGCCCGCGAAGAACACCGGCACTATTCCTCCCATCATATACCTACTGTTAGGGGCGGGTGGGGTGCTGCTGACCGGTGCGGTGCGGAGTACGAAAGACCGAACAAAACAAAGAAATGCGAACTACACAACACCCTCCGCCGCTCCGTGTCGCTCCGCTCCCACAACGAGTGAAACGAAGAAAAATCATTTGTGTATGGCTCCGGTGGGGTGGCCCTGGCGGACGACAGGAGGCGGCCGGTGTTTTCATCATTCTCCCTCCTTGCCGATCGAACAACCGACCGATCCCGAAGGACGGAGCGAGCCGGAGCATGTTTGTTTGATTGCCGTCTCGTTCGCCCTCACTGACTCACTCGCACAGCCAGCTGATCGGGTAGCTGTTTTTTTTTCCGCCGACGACGACGCCTGCTATGCATCTGACGACGACGACGACGATAATGATGATGATGGTGAATGCCTTCGTAACCTTTTCGTGTGTTGCTGCTTCGGGTGAGGTGTGGGGGCGGCGGCAGTGAAGGAGGTTGGTAAATCGTGATTGAAATATTTTTTTTTGTTCGTTTTCCTTTGTATCATAATCGATCTCGCTCGCTCGTTCGTCGTTCGATCGCCGCTTCTTCTCGTCCCACAGCAGCAGCAGCATAGCAGGTCGCGTACCAAGACGGCGATGGCGAGGGGCTGCAAATGTGTATAGTAAACAAACACAATTGAAAATAGTGGCGACCAGCGTTGCCACTGCAGGGTTGCCAACAGGTTTTCAAAAATAACAAAATGCACAAAATAAAAACTGGATGAAAACTGCATCCTTCGCCTTTTGCATACGCATTAAGCAAGTTGCACAAATTCGTAGGTGGTACAAGTTCAGGACCACTGTTTGAGAGCAGTGCCACCTCCGCCCGCTACAGTTTTGACTGAGATTTGGGATTCATCTCGGCCGTGTCCGGTCGAACTTGCTTCAGGTCTTCAAGGATTCCGTGCAGCCACAGCCCTTCGGAGGCCGCGGCACTTAAAGCTGCATACTCGGCTTCACACGACGACAGTGCAACGGTTTGTTGCTTGCGGCTTGCCCAAGACACGGTGTTCCCAAAGACCTTAAAGCCACTAACGGATTTCCTATCCTCAGCATCCGATGCCCAGTCAGCGCCTGCGTACCCGACAAGTGCCTCGGCGTCGTCGTTTTGCTTGTACTGGAGCTTCAAGTTCTTCGTTCCCTTCACGTAACGGACCACTCTCTTCAGGGCTTGCCAGTGGGCCTCATCAGGTTGAACTTGGAAGCGCCCTAGGTATCCAACAGCGTAGCATATGTCCGGTCGAACACACAGCATCGTATACATCAGGCTGCCCAGCAATTTACGGTATGGATGCGACACAGGATTCGCAGCTTGTGGTGGCAGGAAACAGCCTTTCTCCATTGGGGTTTTGACATGGTTACAGTCTTGCATGCCGAACTTCGTCAGCACACGGTCCACAGCAGCTTCTTGCGCCAGGTACATGCATCCGGTGGTGCGGTCGTATCGGATCTTCATTCCAAGGAAATGATTAACCACGCCGCAATCCGTCATCTGGAGCTTCTTGGAAAGAGCACGCTTGATCTCCTTCACCAGGTCCAGTCGATCGCCAGCAATGAGCAAATCGTCCACGTAGATGATTATGTATACCCCCCCTCGATCGTCGATCCTGGTATATAGACAGTAATCATGCCGGGAACGGGTAAAGCCGAAATCCAGTAGAAGGTCGTTTAGCTTGTTGTTCCAATAGCGGGGGCTTTGCTTGAGTCCGTACAGCGATCGATCCAGCTTGCAAACGAAGTTCGGCGGTGCTGCAACTCCTTCGGGTATGGCCATGTAGACGTCTTCTTCAAGCTCACCGTAGAGGAATGCGGTCTTCACATCGAGTTGGTGAACGTGCATCCTTCGGTGGGTAGCTACAGCAAGAACGGTTCGTATCGTGGCTAACTTTGCTACGGGGGAATATGTTTCGTTGTAGTCGACTCCGGGCTTCTGTTGGAATCCCTTCGCCACCAAGCGCGCCTTGTAATGGATCGGTTCGTCATGCTCGTCCGGCTTGATTCGGAAGACCCATTTCGATATGAGCGGAACCACACCAGCAGGGCATCTCACCAATCGCCAAGCATGGTTGTCCGCTAGCGACTGCAGTTCCTCACGGACCGCTTGCTGCCAAAGAGCTTCGTCGGCTCGTCCAGCGATCTCCTTGTACGCCTCCGGGACATCGAAGATCGAACGCTCGGCCTCATCTCGTCCAACGGAACCGTCAAATAGTACATCGGAAACGTTATGGGGAACATCTGCTGAATGGGATTGCGCGGCAGTGAAAATTTTTCCAACCAGAAATTCTTTCAACTTACCGGGGAGTCTGCGCTCCCGTTCGCTGCGCCTCGGGGTTTCCATTTCGAGGTTTGAACCACGGTCTAGTTGCGAAGGGAGCGCTCCGGTTTCTTCAACACCGTCGTCTTCAACCTCGCCTTCTTCATCATCAGTCAGGATGTCGTCATGTTGAGCCACCAGCGGCTCATCGGGTTGAACGAACTGTTCAGGGGTTTGCACGTCTTCCTCATCTTGATCCTCGAACTCGTACGGAGCAACAACCAAAGGAGTTTCGTCACGGATCTGGGTGGCAAACGGAAAACTGTTTTCATCGAACTTGACATCTCTGGCTAGGAATAACTGCTTCTTCTCTTTGTTCCACAGGCGGTAGGCGTTCGGCGCATAGCCGATCATCACAGCAGGCTTGCTTTTCGGATCCAGTTTCTTCCTCTGTGCCGTGGACACCCAAGCAAATGCTTTACAGCCGAACACACGTAGTTTACTAACGTCCGGCTTGTGACCAGTCCACATTTCCGCAGGAGTCTTCCAATCAGATACCGCGGTGGTTGGACTTCTGTTCGTCAGGTATACCGCCGCTAGAACCGCTTCATTTCACAGATTCTTCGGAGTTTGGGCTTCAATCAGCATCGCACGCACCTTTTCGACGATTGTCCGATTGAACCGTTCGAACACTCCATTCTGCTGTGGTGTGTACGCTGCGGTTGGCTCGACTTGGATCCCCTCGGAAACGTACCAATCACGCTGGTCATTGGAGCAATACTCGCGCCCTTGGTCGACAGTCAGCTTCGAAATCGAATGTCCCAGAGCGGCACTCGCCATGGCCTCGTACTCTCGAAACTTCTGGAACACCTCGGACTTCTTCTTGATGGGATATACTACTGCAAAGTGCGTGTAATCATCAATAAAGGTGACGAAGTACCGAGAATCATCCCAAGCCGCTGGTGTAATTGGACCGCACACATCGGAGTGCACTCGTTCTAGAGGTCTTGTAGCACGGACTCTAGTACCCGTGAATGGTTCTCGGCACTGCTTTCCGAGAACACAAACATCACAAAAATCCAATTTATCTGGTTTCTCGGGAATACCTGTTACCATGCCATGCTTCGCGAGTGTCTGCAAACTATTGCTCCCCAAATGAGCCAGTCGACGATGCCACAGGTTACCAGTCACAGCTCCACACATGTTGGCCGCCACCGTATCGACACGGAGATCGAGCTCGTAAAAATCGCCCCGCATGGGACATCTCGCAATCAGGTCACGACCTTGCTTCATGATCGCTTCCTTTTTCGTGAATGTGACATCAAGATCCGCTTTTGCCATCTTCTTCACAGATAGCAAGTTCGCTAGAAAATCTGGTACGAAGAGGACGTTCTTCAAGCTGATATAGTTACCTTCCTTGTTGACGCCGTTGATCGTGCCACTGTGCCGGGAAATCAGGGATTGATCATCCTTCGCCACGTTTATGACGACAGGGTGCTTCAGCTTCGTGAGGTCGGCGAAACAGTGCTTCACATTCACAAGGTGGTCCGAGGCTCCGGAATCCAGCTTAAAGGAAACTGCTCCCTCGTCCTTTGTTTGGGAGGATCTCCCGGTCATAAAAGCCACCGCCTTACCTCCAGCAGCAGCGTAAGCTTCAGCGCGCCCATCTGTCTTCAACTTCACACGACAGTCCTTGGCCTTGTGCCCCTTCTTCTGGCAACGGTTACACTTTCCGGTGAACTTACCAGGCTTCTGCTTCGATCCTTGGAATGCTGCAGGTTTCTCTTGGCAGGAATCCGCTGCCCGGTCGGTTTTCTTGAGCTCCTCGGCAAGAAGGCGCTCGCGAACAATATCCAGTTTTAGGTTTTCCTCACCTAGATTTTCCAGTGCCGTAACCAACGGATCGAACGACTCGGGAAGGGTAGCAAACAGCTGGGACACAATATCGTTCTCTTCAAGCTTCGCTCCGGCCAGCTTCAGTTGTCGGATCAGCTCTTCGAAGGTTTTCAGGTGATCTTTCACAGACGAACCTTCCATCATTCGTAGCTTCGCAAGTTGCTTCCTAACGAATGTCTGCGACGAGACGGACTTCTTGGCGTAGGCGGATTCAAGGCTCATCCACATCTCCTTGGACGTCTCCTTGTCCCGCACCAAATGCAGCAAATCGTC